GCACATTTATGCACAGAACAGACACTTTCATCCAAAGAACAAAAGTAATTCACCTAAGAGCTTACAACAATCATAATGTACGGTAGCAGATTTATTAGACGACGATTAGGAAGCAAACTAGAGAAGAGAAGGAAGGGTGTTTTTCTTCTAAATGTTAGATTGTGGGATTGGGTGTTTTTTTCCCATGTCTGGCCAGTTTCTGACTTGTTTTCCTGTGTTTTCTGCGTAGGCTCGTAAGAACGAGCTGGCTGTGGAGGACATGGACGGCGGCACCTTCCCCATCAGCAACGGAGGAGTGTTCGGCTCCATGTTCGGGACTCCCATCATCAACCCGCCGCAGTCGGCCATCCTGGGCATGCATGGCATCTTTGACCGGCCCGTGGCCATCGCTGGGAAGGTTAGATGTCAGTTGTCTGTGTTGTCTGTGTCGTACATCAGTAGAGTCACCAGTCGGTTCAGGAAGTGAAAACTCCATTCATAGGGACATTTGGGACATTTTTAATAATGATAATAACTTACAAACTGTTAAAGACGGATCTAGTGTTTGAGCTCTCAGGTTGTGAATTGATCGTATGTGCTTTTATTGAAGCCATCCGTTCCCGTTATTTAAACGTATTTTTTTAAATAATCATGTTTAACTGAATTCGTTTAGGAAAAAATACATATACCTATGATTCTCAAAGCGGTCTCCACCAATCAGAGAGATGGGGCGAGAAAATCATGCCAGAACAGCACTTCAGCCCCGGCCACTGCGGAAGTTTATATTCTCCATGGAATTAAAAAAAAAAAAGATAACTGTGACTTTTTATCTGACTCTTGGGACTTTTTCTCATAATTGCAAGTTTATTTCTTACAACTCTGACTCTTTTTTCTTAGGATTGCAAGCTTATATCTCACAGTCACAGGTTTAAATCTTGCAGTTCTGACATTTATGTTTTTGCTCAGAATTCTGACATTACGTTTACTAATAACTTGCAATTCTTTAAAAAAAAAAAAAAAGGTATGAATTGTGAGTTTATATCTCGTAATTGCAATTCTGAGAATAGAAAAGTCCGAAATGTGAGTTTCTAACTAGAAATGGCAAGGAAAAAAGATTTAAAAAGTCACAATTACCTTTTTTATATTTTTATTCCATGGCGAAAATAAAAAAAGCGTCCATAGCCTAGTCCCATGCAGCACAGCAAATTACATAATCGAGTTGGTTTCCCTCCCTCCCTCCCTCCTATATATATATATATATGTGTGTGTGTGTGTGTGAGAGAGACAGAGAGTATGTGTGTGTGTGTGTGAGAGAGAGAGACAGAGAGAGTATATGTGTGTGTGTGCGTGTGAGAGAGACAGAGAGTATGTGTGTGTGTGTGTGAGAGAGAGAGACAGAGAGAGTATATGTGTGTGTGTGCGTGTGAGAGAGACAGAGAGTATGTGTGTGTGTGTGTGAGAGAGAGAGACAGAGAGAGTATATGTGTGTGTGTGCGTGTGAGAGAGACAGAGAGTATGTGTGTGTGTGTGTGAGAGAGAGAGACAGAGAGAGTATATGTGTGTGTGTGCGTGTGAGAGAGACAGAGAGTATGTGTGTGTGTGTGTGAGAGAGAGAGACAGAGAGAGTATATGTGTGTGTGTGCGTGTGAGAGAGACAGAGAGTATGTGTGTGTGTGTGTGAGAGAGAGAGACAGAGAGAGTATATGTGTGTGTGTGCGTGTGAGAGAGACAGAGAGTATGTGTGTGTGTGTGTGAGAGAGAGAGACAGAGAGAGTATATGTGTGTGTGTGCGTGTGAGAGAGACAGAGAGTATGTGTGTGTGTGTGTGAGAGAGAGAGACAGAGAGAGTATATGTGTGTGTGTGCGTGTGAGAGAGACAGAGAGTATGTGTGTGTGTGTGTGAGAGAGAGAGACAGAGAGAGTATATGTGTGTGTGTGCGTGTGAGAGAGACAGAGAGTATGTGTGTGTGTGTGTGAGAGAGAGAGACAGAGAGAGTATATGTGTGTGTGTGCGTGTGAGAGAGACAGAGAGTATGTGTGTGTGTGTGTGAGAGAGAGAGACAGAGAGAGTATATGTGTGTGTGTGCGTGTGAGAGAGACAGAGAGTATGTGTGTGTGTGTGTGAGAGAGAGAGACAGAGAGAGTATATGTGTGTGTGTGCGTGTGAGAGAGACAGAGAGTATGTGTGTGTGTGTGTGAGAGAGAGAGACAGAGAGAGTATATGTGTGTGTGTGCGTGTGAGAGAGACAGAGAGTATGTGTGTGTGTGTGTGTGTGTGTGTGTGTATTTTGCAGTAAATTTTAAATATATTGTTTCTACAGATCTATTAAATGAATAGCTTTATATTTCACCATTGTTTTTAATTTGATTGACATATGCAGTGTTTCATGGGATTGTAGTTTGTTTCCCCCTCGTTACACCCATTAACTGCACAGTCTTGTATCTTTGTGTTTTGGTCTGATTTTTGAGTTTGTCATGTGATTCTCCTCGTAGTTGGTTGGTTTGGTTCACAGCTTATAGCGCTTTAACAAAGGCACCGAGAGAAACTAATGGAGAAGTGCCTCAGCAGCAGCGTGTGTGTGAGGCTTTTCTGTTCTCTGATGTGTTCAGGTGGAGATCCGGCCGATGATGTACGTGGCTCTGACGTACGACCACCGCTTGATTGACGGCAGAGAGGCCGTGACCTTCCTCCGAAAGATCAAATCTGTGGTGGAGGACCCTCGGGTGCTGCTGCTGGACATGTGAACGCTCTCGGACCCTCAGCCGACTCCTGCCACTCACCAAACATCTTCTCATCTCACGCACAAACCCCATCTGTACACTAGGGACGGACGCGTCAGCGGTAGAGGGATTGAAGGAGTGGGATTTGCATTGATTGGTTTCATGTTAAGTTGTTTTACCGTGTGTATGTCCTCTGGGTTTTCACTGTATTATGAAGCAAAGCGGTCCTGTCATTGTATGTACAAGTCAGCGCACAAAACATGCCCTGAGCAATTACTTGTTTTTAAATGGAGAAGAAAGGATAGAATATACAGTATATCATATTTAATCTCTTCAGCGTGAAATGATGGGAGCAGCTGAGCAGAAACACTGTTCCAGTGAGTTTTTGTACACGAGACCTCGAGGCGTCCCAAACGATCAGATCCTGTCTGCCTGTGTAAAGAACCAAAACTATATGAGATTTTAAACAATAAAATCAATGAAATGCTGACGCTCTCTCGCGTCTTTCTGACTCTCTGTATTTCTGTTCAGCAGCCAGCAGTCAGTCCACTTCACTACTGTGTGAGTGTGAGTGTGAGTGTGTGTTTGTGTGTGTGTGTGAGTGAGAGTGTGTGTGTGTGTGTGTGTCTTCAGCGATAATCCGAGTACAAATCAAGATGATTCACGTCTGTTCATACACACTCTCAAAATGTTGTGAAATCAGTTCAAGTGTTGAGTTGCAAAAACAATATAAAGAGATTTGTCTATGTATAGACATTCATTTTTTGTATTATTGTAGCGCTTTTATATTTTTGTTCATATTTAGAATTTTCGTTTTTTGGTTAAGGTTTTAGTTTTGTTGGCGGTTTTTTGTCATTTATTAGTTTTTTTTATCTCTATATTATTATTTTTTTATTTTAGTCATTTTAAATCAAAATTAGAATTATTGACTTGGCAACTTGAAATAAAATTTTCAAGTTTTTAATATTTTATTTCAGTTAATGTTTATTTATAGTTACAGGTAATGAAAATGTCTTTGTGGTTTTAGTTTTAGTTAAAGATGAAAACCCTGGTGGGGACACAACTTCAAGTCTTTAATGGCACATTATGCTGACTAAAATGTAAACTATATAAAACACAGGATAGAGATGGATCTTGAAGATGAGTCCAAACATCTTGCCAAAACATCTTCAGCTCAGATAAAGAGGGACTGGACACTAATTTCTTACAATGGAGAATAAAGACAAAATGCTAGACTTTATTTCCATATATGTTTGTTTTTATCCAAATGAACGCATTCGGTAATAGAGCACAAAGGAGAAGAAAAAAAAATCATGACAGATGAAAAATAGTTATTTGGGTTTGTAAAGTGTTTTTAAAAGTGCTTATAACCTTAGTTTGTTTTGTTTTTTTCTAATGTGCATGTATATTACGGAATACAAAAAGACAGCTGTTTTGTTGAATGATTGTGTGAATGCAGATGCTGCACTCAGACTCAGATTCACACGGAACTAACACTGGACACACATATTACTGATGCAGCTCAGATGAGGTTAATTTCTCCTTCAGAGCCAGTGTGTGTGTGGTTGCATTTAACACGCATGCAAGGCTTCTGGAGAATATGAAAGTAAGTTACAGTGCAAGAGTCTCATCCACGTCTTCATGCTCTCGGCCGGATGTGGTGACAAGAGCTTCTAGTTTGGTCACATGCTAAGGATGCTTTGAGGTCACTTGGTTTGTTATTCTCACGCCTGAAAGATTAGAAACCATAAACCTCCCGTTTTACTATTCCATAAACGTGGTTTATTTATTAATACTGTTTAAAACATTCAATGATCATATTAATAAAAAGGATTTTGTGCTACTGATCAGACATGCATGTTAATAGATTTGTTCTGACATAATATGCATTTGTGTGCTTTCAGCAGCATTTCTCAGAAGGATGCACAATAAACTAGTAAGAAGTGAGTGGTTTTATTCAATGCAAATGCATAAGAAACATTCAATCAGAAATGGAGAGGACAGAACACATGACTGAATGGTGTTCAGTAATATTGCATTTGTGCAAAGTAATAATGCCCCAAATGTGCACCGGTCGACCCGTCTGCTCTCTGCAGCATCATGCAGGTCCATTTCTGTGGGAAGTGTGTGAAAACTGGGACACTGAACTTCATTTTCCAGACATTTGAAGACAATTGTCCTTGATTTCACAGCAAGCGTGTAGAAAATTGCTGATGTGGAGAAATTACTCCTGCTGCCACCAGATGGTGGTAAAAGTACAACAATGAACCATGAATCCTCCTGTCCAGAGGTCTTTGGGACTTTTTAACGGTGATCTGTTTCAGAGCTTCTCAAAAGGTTCACCCACTTTCATTGTTTCTGCCCGTCAAATTAAAATATAGAGTTGTTTCCACTCCCACAAGTGATGCTGAAAATGAATATCTTGATATATGCACTTTCAAAAAACATTACATCTGAAACTCTTAGTCCATGTTCAGATTAGCACATTATGGATTATGCATTATTATGCATTATGGCTAAATAAAGATTCACAACATTGTTACTCATTGTGAAATATTTTCAGTGGGGAAAACATTCATAAATGTACTCTTTTAAATTAAAAAAGGGGAAATTCAGACTCCGAATGTGTAGCGGGCAGAAGCAAACGGAATAATGAAATGGAAAATGAATACTTCCAGAAGGCACTACGGCGTCAGTGAACTGCTGAGTGTGAGCCACGGGATGGAGTTAAAGAACGGATGGCACTTGATGTCGCTCACGCCGCCGCCTCCTGATCCCAGACGATAACACGCATCAAACTGGAGCAGCTGCAGGAAACAGGAAGAGGAAAACAGCAGCAGCATTACTATGGAGTGAATGCAAAAATAGAATAGAAAACAAGCATGAAATGCATTAAAAAAAGATTTGAATGCATTTGAATGCAATGCAAACAAACTGCATTATAAATTGGAAGTCAACACACACAGTAAGGTCTCATGTCAAGCTAAAGAAACTGTTTAAAGTGTTTATTGTCAAGTTGAACTTGAGAAAGAAGCTTAGCCACTATCAGACGACACATGGATTGAGGAAAAGGCTCCTCTGACCTTGTCTGGTCCAAACCCAAAACCCAAAGAGCTATGCTGCGTTCAAGTTCGGTCACAATTACCATGAATATGCATTTCATTAAACTCATAATTACAAGAATTTTATGAAAGCTCCCATCTGACGCACTTTCTTTGTTTCCAAGAGCATACAGAGGTGGATTAAAGTAGAGAAAAAGCATTCCCTGCAAGAAGCATTTTTTTAAATACAGTGGTTCCTAAAATGCTTACAAAATCCAGCAAACCCAGCGCAGTGCTGCCCTGTAAACACTCGAGCTTTGTTCATCCTGTCTATCAGTTTGCATTGAGAGAGCAGTTACCTCAGTGAGAAGCGAGGCGGCTGCAGTGCTGAGGACTTCTGGGATATGGAGCGGAGAATGAGGGTGAATGCCTGTAGGGTGGCACTGCCACAATGGCTGCGGAGAAACAGAGTTGAAAAAATTAAAACAATGGTCTCCTCTCAACACGATCAAGAAGATGTTTGTGTATTTTTAATTGAAGTAGTAGATTTTTGGGAACTGCTATAATAACTCAACAGCCTGAAATTTGAACAATTTTCTGTCATTCATAGTTTAGTTTTGGGTTTGTTCATTTTAAACCAGGAATAAAAGGAACTGCTTACCGTGCCAGTAAGAAGCTCATATAGTAAAGCTCCAAGACTCCACCAATCACATGCCTCTGTGATTTTTGACGCACCTCCAATTTCTGCTCCAAATCAGTAAAAACAAATGCAACTACTTATTAAATCTCAAGAGAACAGAATGTGTTAGAAATGTACTGTTGCAGTTTGATGTGACTGTGAAAAATCGTTCACCTGGTGCACAGTACATCTCTTCCATTGCTTTCGGGTTAATTTCGGGCTGAACTTCTGTCCACAGTCCAAAGTACGTAAGACACGCCTCCCCTGTGTGCAATATGTTTGAGCAACAGTTTGAAAAAACTAACAGTCTTTGTTTTGTGAAACACAAAAAGAGATATTGGACAGAATGTCCAAGCTGCTTTTTTCCATACGATGAAACTGAAAGGTGATTTACACTGTTGAGCACCGAAAAGGTCAAAGATGTTACAAGTCAATAAGTCCTCTATTCCAAGTCCTCTGAAGTTATATGATGCTTTGTATGAGGAACGGACTAAAATTTTAGTCATTAATCACCAACAAATTTCCCTCTTTGCTGCACCTCTCAAGTCTCATTTGCAGTCAAATAAGACCTGAGGTAAATCCAAAGGTAAATCCAGTTTAGCAATAATGATGTCAATCCTGGAGTGATGGTAAGGCTAGTATTGGTTATGTTAAATCTGCCTTTCTAATAACTGAATCACGGCATTTTTACCCTTTTTGGGTCTTAAAGTATAAATCGCCATTCATTTCTTTTTATGGAAAAGATCAGTGTGAACATCTCATTTTTCATGGGTGAATTAATGATGACAGAATTAATTTTTGGGTGAACATTTCCTTTACTATAACAGATAACCAAATAAGATTCTACTTAGGATGAGTTAAATATCAATGCTCCCATTGTCAATGAAATTTAAGAGAGTAGTCAATCCTCCCGGTCCACTTCCTTGCAGACTTCAGGTCCAGCCTGTCCCAACACACCTGCCGGTAACTTTTTAGTAATCCTGAACACCCTGATTAGCCGTTTCTGGTGTGTTGGAGCAAGTTTCAGCTAAACTCTGCAGGATGGTAGCCCTCCAGGAGCAGGGTTGGCTACCCCTGCTATTGTTTAATTGTTGAGTTTAATTGTTAATCTTCAACTCTGGTCACTGTCCTGCAGAGTTTAGCTCCAACTCCAATCAAACTCATCTGCTTGTAACATTCTAGCAAATCTGAAGACCATGATCAGCTTGTTAAGATGTGTTTAATTAGGGTTGGAGCTAAACTCTGCGGGACAGTAGCCCTCCAGGACTAGAGTTAAAGAGCCCAAACCAAAGAATTTGCAACAGGAGACGTACCACTATTGCAGAGTAGAATATTTCGTGGGTTGAGGTCCTGGCACACAATGCCCTGCTCATGAAGACTTTCCAAGGCCAACAGAATCTGAGCCCCCCACAGTCGCACCTCATCCTCAGGGAGTCCCCATCTACCCCACTTCGATTTGGCACTGAAGTTCTTGGACTTAATTTGGAGGTGATGGCCCAAGCCGTCCACCTTCACCTGCTGCTCTAGTTCAGTCTCACTCCAACAGGAGCTGTTTGGGGTAGGTGCTGACGGACAGGAGATCATGCCAACTTGTGGTTGTTTAGATGAAGAGTTGAAGAACTGCCAGTTCTCCATGTCCTCCTTCCCAACCTCCCTCGCCATTTCAACAGTGTTTACCCGAGAAGTCATCTTTGTAAAGTCTAAAGAGATACTTTCTTGTTTTTGAGGTGTACATTCAAATGGATTGTGATGAGAACTGACTTTGCTCAATTCAGCCATGAACTGTGAAATCTGTTCATTTCCACTGTGTTTACAGTTAGTGACACGTTGTTCATGAGGAAATCCATCACATGCTTGGTTTTGTGGAGGTAAATGTGATGTGTTGGGAACTATCCGCACTCTCTGTGGAAGAACATCAACCGTGCTGCAAAGGGTTGGTTGCGCATTTTCACCAAATAAAGAGGCTGAAGTAATCTGAGATGCAATGCTGAATCCTAGAATATCTGAGTTTGATTCTGGTACAGTGAAACTCAGACAGTCCTGAGCAGGTTCCAAAGCATTCCAAGCTTTGTTCAGATCTATGCAAGAGTCAATGCGCTCAATGCGGACATCGTTTCCTAGAAGGTCGGAAGTGACATCAAGAGGATCTCGAGTGTCCACAATCACACAGGGATGAATGGGAAGAGGAATATTATCCTGAGGTAAAGACTTGAGACCATTGGGTAGACCAACAGAAGGAAGCTCATTATCTGTCCTTGTTGCATACAAACCTAGAGAACCCCCCTGTTGGCGTCCTGAATCTTCACAGTAGGAGTGAGTTGTACAGTTCTCAAGACATTGTTTAGTTGGGCTGCCTGGACTCTCAAGAGGTTTAGTTCTCCCATAATGCTCATTGAGGTAAATCTCCTGACGGAGAGCAGGGAGGGTGTAGCTATTCTTCAGATAGATCTTGTGCTGGTTGGGGCTAAAGCATTCTGGATGCTCCCTGACTGCTTCACTTCTGACCCTGTGAAGTCTGGAAAAGAGTCTACCACCTGTAGAAAAGCAAAGCCGTTAAACTATATGCCATTGAGAGCATGTGGGCCACTCTTTCAAATGCTCTCCTAGTACTGTGTGACTATGAGGAGCTTATGGCCAGTCAACTTTTTGAAACATCAGGGTGGACCAGGGTTCTTCAAATCTGGACCTTGAGGTCCACTGTCCTGCAGAGTTTAACCTTAATCATACACCTAGAAAATGAAAAGGCAGCTGAATTTGATCGGGGTTAGAGCTAAACTCTGCAGGATAGCAGACCTCCAGTACAAGATTTGAAGATTCCCGATATACATATTTTTCTGAGTGTGTGGAACAAACAATATTCCCGTGTTTGAACTCTGCAACTGCAATGCTTAACATTTTCCCTGAGTTCTATCTCTTGACTCTAGCCCCATCCCTTTCATTAGTACTGATTTGGATATTCCAGAACAGGGGTGTAAAATTCTGCTACTGGATGGCTAATGTCCAGTAGAGCAGGGGTTCTCAACTCTAGGCAAGCAGCTTTCTAGTAATCCTGAAGACACTGATTAGCTTGTTCAGGTCTGTTTGATTAGGGTTTGGTGCTAAACTCTGCAGGATAGTAACCCTCCATGGACTAGGACTGGAAACCCCTGGTGTAGAGCAGGGATGGGCAACTTTGGTCCTGGAGGCCACTGCCCTGCAGAGTTTAGCTCCAACCATAATCAAACACACCTTCCTGTAGCTTTCTAGTGATCTTGAAGACACTAGGCTTGTTTGAGATGCACCTCACCTCGCCTCGCCTGAAATGAAATGGATGATAAATACACCTTTCGTATGGAATTAAATAGCAAGCACTTTAAGTGTCTTGTTCATCATATTTATTTTCATATAAAAGTATCAGAACTGAAATTATATCATGTTTATAAGCAACACAGCCCGTGAGTGTGAATAACGCGATATCTGCCTTTGATCTCGTTGGTATCTGTTCCACTTTGAGAGGGCAGAACTGTCCGTCTTGACTGCGCTTATTTCACTCCTCCCCTCACTGCAGCCGCCTACTCTCACCAACACTTCAGGCAAGGCGAGGCGCATCTCAAACAAGCCTTCGGACACTTTTCTAACCGGCATGCATCTCGCGGTGATCACCGGTGATCGGTTCTGCGCAGATTTTGCTCATCTCAAACAAGCCTACTGATTAGCTTGTTCAGGTGTGTTTGTTTAGGGCTCGAGCTAAACTATGCAGGACAGTGGCCCTCCAGGACCGAAGTTGCCCATACCTGGTGTAGAGTATGCTATTCTTTTGGAATTGTGTTGATAATCATGTTGGTATTTGTGAACAGGCTTTAGTATGATTTAGATCCTTCCTATCAGATCACTATCTCTATGATCTGATGAGAAATTGTCTAACCTCACACAGGTTAAAAAAGGAGTGCCGCAAGGCTCTGCCATTGTACTAAAGCAGTGTTTCCCAACCCTGTTCCTGAAGGTACACCAACAGTACACATTTTGGATGTCTCCCTTATTTGACCCATCCATTTCAGGTCTTATACTCTCTACTAATGGGCTGATGAGTTGAACCAGGTGTGTGATTAGTAAGAGTTTGAAAATGCATACTGTTGGTGTGCATCCAGGAACAGGGTTGAGAAACACTGGACCAAGGCTTCTGAATGAACTGTCTATGCTAGAGGGTGTAGGGTCTTATCATATATGGATATGAAACTCAGGAATAGCCTTCTGGGTGATGTTTGAGACACAAATACACTTTCATCTGAAGTGCAGACTGAAACCCCATCTGTTCAACAAGGACAAATCTCAAATTTATTTCATAAGACTGGGTTCCCCAGCAGAGTCTTGGTTCTTTTTAAGGTTTGTTCCTCATTAACTATGTAGGACATTTTTCCTTGCTATTATCACTTTTTGTCTTGGATTCTGTCAAACTGCTCTGGAACAATATACAATGTGAAAGTGCTACAGAAATAGCCTGAATCAACTCACCTTGAACATGTTCTAAATGAAGGAACACAGTGTCTTCACTGACATAGTATTTTAGCAGCTTCACCATGAAGGGCACTCCCTGAGGAATGATGGTCGACCTCTCACGACTCTCCCAGCTCGACTTCGGTAGACTCTGTCCAGCAAGCAGAATTTTTCACAGTTTTACAGGTAACACACTAAAATTCGGCTCTCTTCCTTAACCTAGTGAGCTGCTTCTTCAAACAGCCTTTTAAGGCAGCATAAATGTGCTTGTGACACAAAGCATGCTCCAAAAGGTAATGTAACTGTAATGGCGCTTTCCACTGCGTGGTACGACTCTGCTCGGCATGGCTCAGTACGGCATGGCACGGCTCGGCTCGGTTTGCATTTCCACTGCAGTTTAGTATCGCTAGAGTGGGTGGGATTATTCACATGTCATTATAGTTGCACCGCCTCTACTACCACGACTCCTGAAAAACTTTTTCATTCCGCGTCGCCCCATCAAGCTTTCGCTGGATCCGCTCCTCTCCTATCAATGGAGGAACGTCTGTACTTCCTCAACAGACAATGAAACAGCCACTTTCGATCCTTCGCTGGCTGTGCTGATTTAAATCTAGCGGTTCTGTTGTGTTTGTGTCGCAAGTTCAGTGACGCAGGCAGTGACGATTCTCTCTGGCCAATCCGTGATCAGCAGAGTTTACACGTCACGTTTTGGTAACGGTACGGTTCACTTGGAATCTCAACCGAGGTGGTACTAAAAAAAGTACCAGGTACTGTACCCAGTGGAAAACCCCCCAAAAGTGAACCGTACCGTGCCGTACCATGCAGTGGAAAAGCGCCATAAGACGACGGTTACAGTGCGGTTCCAGAATTTCTCTTTAAAAAAAATAAAGAGATTTCTGGATTAAAATGTTGACTTTCTTTTAATAATGAAAACGATTTATTATTAGAAATTGTAAAGTATTTGAACATCATGGTAGCATTTTGTATCTCCTTTAGTTTCTGCTGATTTAAAATGTAGCATTTTTTGTTTTGTCCTTTATCCAGCCGTCTCTGTGATATCTATTTAAGCTGTAGCGTAATATCTCAAGTGTCTGGTTTCAGTAACCAGAGATGAGTTTGTACTCCGATTCAGGCACAGCAGCTTTTAACAGGATCAATCCAAACAGACTCGCAGTAATAACAGAAGACGTAAGTGTATTCCCAGAGCTGGATCCAGTTGGCTGGCCTGATTTCAGCAGGCACTCACACAGCGGTGTGGTCAGACCATTTCTGAAAGGAATCCATACGCTACAATACTTCTGTCTCAAATGCCTACCTTAACAATAAATGTCTCCTTGCTTATCAGACTTTCAACCGTCAGCACCTGTTGAAGACATACATTTATAACTAAAAGACTTTTTAAATATCTTTTACACATCCAATGACTTTAACTTCCTGGAATATAGAGAAATGTCTGACTAGTTGTCAACCAACCATGAAGAGCCTGAGAGGAGCGGATATTTCACACATACCTTATCAATGACTCCAATGACTTTGCACATCGCCAGATCCTCCACCGGTGAACTTAGATGTCTGATCGACCGAAAGCGCAAGCTACTATAACCCTGATGACCAGGAAAAGAACATGTGTCAAGAGAAAAATAAACAGACCATGGCCTGTATGTTATATCTGCCTGAATATTGTTTTATGGCAAAAGTCTGGTTCACATTGCAGCAAAGAATTGCCCACTTAAGGCACTTTAGGATGCTCACTTCTCATCTCACTACTCATCTACATTAAAGTGTGGCCATAAAAGTAACAAACTCAAATCAAAAGGAGAAAATCATATTCAGTGGAAGCCTAAACAGATATGATGTCATGCACACTCATCACCTACTCCTAAATGAGTGGATCCTTTAGCAATGTTGTCCTGTAAGTAAGAGATGAAGATCTCCTCGGCTCTCTTCAGATATTGAGTGGTCTTCCGTTTCACGGCTTCACGTCTCTCTTTATTTGGATCCACTGTAAGACACAGAAAACTCTGCATTGGTGTGAAAATCTATGATTGGCCCTTTGCTAAGCCCAGCCTTAACCTTAATGCATACCATAATCTAAAATATGCCATTTTATAAGACTGGTGTGAAAATCTATGATTGGCCCTTTGCTAAGCCCAGCCTTAATCTTAATGCATACCATAATCTAAAATATGCCATTTTATAAGACATGTTCACGATCAAAAAATACATTTCCCAGAAAGTTCCCAGGATACAAGCATTTTTGTTTTCATTTTCCAAACCATAATAGTTCATGCTGTGAATTAAATTATGTTTCGCCTCATTCACAAATTAATATTTCTGTATAGATGGAGTTGGAGTCAGTAAGTTGCATTTGTCAGCATTTGTTTGATATGTAAGGCAAAATATGTTGCATATTAGGTTGGATTGCACCTGTTGCCTTCCAGAGCTTTGAAAACACTTCCTCTAATTACTGTACCTCTATGTTTTGGTATTGCTTTTTATATATATTTCACATGGTTTAACCACAGCAGCTGACTTTCTGTCATGGTCCCCAACAAATTTTGGTTACAGACTCAGCTCAGGATGGTTCTTGTTCATTGGAACAAAAGCTGATCTCTAGTGCACATTACAAGGTACATGTTCATGGTGCATATCCTTGTTTCTTAGACTTAGTATTTAATGCCAAATGATTGAGAGTTCTCAGGGTTCCACTTTTAGGGTCCATAAACAACAAGAAGGATTTGAGTCAAGCAACCTTCATCAGACCACTTGAGATGGATTAACCCTAAACGCAACATAAATATGAGATTTATTGTGCAGTGTAGTCAGCTTTAATGATTATAACTGGAGTTTTTGCAGGAGCTCAGACAGTGAGCTTGCGCTGAAATTAAGTGATTTACAGCTTTGGTGATTATAAAGGCAGCACTCTTTGATCACTTTATAATCCATTCACAATTTGAATATGATATTTAAATGTGGGAACAAATTCAAAATTGTGATGGTTGACAGTGATAACAATAGCAAGAAATGGGGAGAATGTGTCAAAATAGATAATAGACTAATAGACCTGCCTCTTGTTCTACTACATGTAATGCATTTATTTGTTCTTCATTTTATTACTGGCTTATGACTTTCAAAGCAATGTTTACTTAATTGAAAAATATGAATTGAAAAAGGCTACATGGTGTTTTAATGTTTCCTAGTATGATTTTGATGTTTATTTATTTCCGTCTTTGATTTTCCTTTGGTTTAGTTGCTGTTTTCATGGTTGCCTTGCATTCTAAGTATGTTCTTAACCGTTCCCTCCACACCTGTGTCTTGTTTATTCTGTGTATTTATAGCCCTTGAGTTTCAGTTCAGTTTTTTTGTTGGTTACTGTCTATGCATGTATCTAGATGTTATGCTCTCCTCAACTACTCTTTCAATGTGACAAATGTATAATCTACATGTCCATCCTAATTACTTAATTACCATTGAGGCAATTGAGGCAAGATGGCACCGTTGTTCATGGCTCATGGCTGGCCGTCTGCTATCTGTTCTGTTTGTTTTATGTTTAAGCTCCTTTGTGACTCAAATTGTTCGTGCACTGTTGGTGTATGACCATCAAATGGTCCTAAATATAAGGAGCTCAGTTGAAGTTTTATCGAGCACTGCTCTGGGGGATTTAATTTTAAATGTCCACCTCCACCTTTTATAACGTCTAAACCTGCCTGCTTGCGCCGTTCGCCGTGGGATTTCCCAGGGAGGAAACGTCGCCAATGGAAAGGAAAGCGGGGAGGAATTGCAGTCAAGCTAAAACTATGTTTAGCAAGTTTACCGGCGCACTATCCTTGCATGGATTACTCTGTTTTTGGGTTGGACAGTGGCCGTTTTATTTTGTCGTGATCCCTGGAGTTTATTCATCAGTGTGTTCAGCCAGTAATCCCGAATGTTTCAAATGACTCTCTTCGGTACCGGTTGTCTTTTTGTTCATGACGAGGAGGAGTTAACCACGGAAATCTTCGTCCATTGAGTCGTGCGGCACAGCCGGTTGGTGAGTCAACGCAGGTCAAGATGGCCCTGGTAAACACTCAATGAATTTGCTAATTTTTAGGAGGAATTGCAACACAGTTTGAGAGACTCTTGATTGTTGGGGATTTTAATATTCATGTTTGCTCTGATACTAATCCCCTGGCAAAGGATATTATCATTCTTATTGACTCTTTTGATTTGGTCCAAATGGTTAAAGGACCTACACTTTCACTGGGCCATACAGTACACTTGACCTGGTTTTGGTACATGGTCTTTCTATCTGTGATTTTGAAATCTGTGAGTTAAGCTTTTCCAATCACAAGCCTATAATGTTTACTTGCTCTTTCTCAGGTCAAATCTCCAAAGTACACAAGCCTGTACTCTGGTCTAATATTTTAACACTACAGTTAATGAGGATATATCTGTATATGTTAAGGAGGCCTGTCAGCTTTTGACTCTTCCTTCAACAATTTAAATGCTGAACAACAACTTATTTGGTTTAACTCTACTTGCTCTGATATTTTAGACACTATAGCTCCTTTATGGAAAAGACAACAAAAATTTAAGGCTGAACGTCTCGGTTACGTACGTAACCCTCGTTCCCTCCTGGAGGGAACGGAGATGTTATGTCGAACGGCATATGGGGTCTCACTTGGGAGGCCAATCATCTCTGAGTTTAAGAGAAAACGCCAATGAAAATTGGCTAGTGGATTTTGCATACCTGAGACACTCCCCGTGCATACGGGTATAAATAGGCGACAGGTGCATCCACTCTTAAGGTTTTTACGCTGAGGAGCCGAGAACATGTCCCGGCAACAGCGAATGGTTCAAGATTGTGGCATGGGGACATAACGTCTCCGTTCCCTCCATCAGGGAACGAGGGTTACGTACGTAACCGAGACATTCCCTATCTGTCGGTCACTACGAGTTATGTCGAACGACATATGGGGTCCATGGAAAACGCCACAACCTGAACACCGTCACATCCCTTTGGCACTGCAATTGTTGACAAGCCGTGGCGTGCCACAAAAACTACACTAAGGTCGTAACCTTCCCAAAGCCCCAGTGCAAATTCACTGACGTGGCGTGCCACAAAAGCTACGCTAAGGTCGTAACCTTCCCAAAGCCCCAACGCAAATTCCCTGACCTTGGTACCGAAGAGGACCAACGGTGAGTACATCGCTGCTGGAGAAGGCCATGCTGCTGTTCCGTCCACAAAATTTTTTTGGAAAGGATTTCAACCTTCAGTGAAAGATTACTTCAAATCTTTCCTATTTGTTCTTTCAGCCTGGCAGAACGATGGGGAAGCGAGCCTTAAGGGAAAAGGTCGCTACGGAGACCACATCCTACCAATAGGGAGGTGACATGTGGAGATACTGATATGGACCGACCCAGGGGACAGTACTACATATGAAATGGGTCTCTGAGGCAGGTCCTACCTTAGAGTTGGGATGGAACAACTGCCAGGAGAGACTGACAGAGCAGGTCTGTCAAGGGAAGGCACTGGTTTACCGAGAGGGAAACCTTGCCATGGAGAAATACACATATGGGATTACCCGAAGGGAATCAACCCATATGGACACCTAGCCCAATACAGGGGCTGACCGGGACTCTGGGCATGCTAACACCAGTACTGGGCCTGGCGTCAGACTGCTCCGCCAAGTCTGACTGCCGAGGGTGCTGGAGGATGCTCGACCAGGGTTTGCCAACCGGGGAACTCTGCTGGGAGAAGAAAGGCGCTCACATCTCTGTGTGAGGGGGAATGGCGCAGCAAGTGTGACACCAAGCTAGTTCTTCCCGCCAATTACCTGTTACCCAACACACAGGAAGAAACCGGCTCTACACGAAGGTTGTAAAACCTCGCGAAGGTGTTAGGTGTCGCCCAGCCCGCAGCTCGACAGATGTCTGCCAGAGAGGTGCCGTGCGCCAGCGCCCAGGAGGAGGCAACAATCCGAGTGGAGTGGGCTCTCACCCACAGGTGGCACGGCTCGCCTTGGGATTGGTAGGCCAAGGCGATGGCATCTACTATCCAGTGGGCCAACCTCTGCTTGGAGACAGCCTTCCCCTTCTGCTGACCTCCAAAGCAGACAAGGAGCTGCTCAGGGTGTGGTCCACGTATATGCGTAGTACTCTTACGGGACACAGCAACGCCAAGACTGGATCTGCCTCCTCCGGGGGCAGCACTTGCAGGTTCCCCACCTGGTCTCGGAAGGGAGAAGGGAGTGGTGGGAACCTTGGGCACGTATCCAGGCCGGGGTGTCAGGACAACGTGAGAGTAGGCCGGCCCGAACACAAGGCACTCTTCACTTACCAAAAATGCTTGGATGTCCCTGACCCTCTTGATGGAAGTGAGCGCGATCAGGAGCGTTGTCTTAAGAGACAGGAACTTCAGCTTGACTGAATCAAGTGGCTCAAAGGGACCCCTCTGGAGTCCAGCCAGGACAACAGAGAGATCCCAGGAGAGTATCAGGGGGGATTCAACCTTATGACACACCTCAGGAACCTAACGATCAGGTCATGCCTTCCCAGGGACGGCCGTCCACTGCATCATGATGTGCTGCGATAGCAGCGACATACACTTTCAAGGTGGAGGGTGACAGCCTACGCTCCAACCTTTCTTGCAGGAAAGAAAGCAAGACTCTAATCGAGCATCTCCGGGGGTCTTCTCGGTGAGAAGAACACCAATTTGTGAACAGACTCCACTTCAAAGCATAGGCATGCCTCGTAGTGGGAGCTCTGGCCTGAGTAATAGTGACTACCACCGCTGGCGGTAGGTCACTTAGGTCTGCAGAGATCTGTACGCAGGTGCCATATGGTGCCCAGCCCCTGAGAAAGGAGGTCCCTCCTCAGGGGGATGCGCCAGGGAGGGGATGTCACGAGGAGCATGAGTTCCGAAAACCAGGTACGGGTGGGCCAGTAAGGCGCAACCAAAAGGACCTGTTCCTCGTCCTCCCTGACCTTGCACAGTGTTTGTGCGAGCAGGCTCACTGGGGG